ATGAATTGGAACTGACTCAGTGGCAGTGGGCTTGGTTTTTTGGGTGGTGTTGTTAGGAGCTCTGGTAGCACAGTGCCTAAGGCATCTGACTGCTAACCAAAAGGTTGGTGGTTCAAACACACCAGCCATTCTACGGAAGCAAGACTGGGCAATCTACTTCTGTAAAGATTTACTGCCTCGGAAACACAATGGGGGTTGCTATGAGTCAGAACCAACTCAATGGCAGCAGGTTTCGTTTTGGTTTTATTGTTGGTGGAGCCATCAAGTTGGCTCCAACACATAGCAACCTTGTGTATAACAAAACAAAACACTTCCCAATCCTGCATCATCTTCACAATATCTGTTATGTGTGAGTCCATAACTGTAGCCATTGTGTCAATCTATCTTGGTGAGGTCTTCCCTTTTTTGCTAACTTTCTACTTTACCAACCATGATATCCTCCTTCTCCAGCGAATGGTCCTTTCTGACAACATGACCATGTAGGTGAAATGAAGTCTGGCTGTTTTCACTTCTAAGGAGCATTCTGGCTGCACTCCTTCCAGGACTGATTTGTTAGCTCTTCTGGCAGTCCACTGCACTTTCAGCACTCTTCACCAACACCACAACTCAAAAGCATCAACTCTTCTCCAGTCTCATTCATTGTCCAGCTGTCACATGCATATGAGGCAACTGAAAATACCGTGTCTTGGGTCAGGGGCACCTAAGTCTTCAAAGTGACATCTTTGCTCCTTAACATGTTAAAGAGGTCTTTTACAACACATTTCCCCAGTGCAATATGACAATTTCTTGACTGCTGTCTCCATGGGTGCTGATTGTGGATCCAAGTAAAATGAAATTCTTGACAACTGCAATCTTTTCTCCATTTATCATGATGTTTCTTATTGGTCCAGTTGTGAGGACTTTTGTTTTCTTTATGTTGATGTGTAATCCATACTGAAGAATATACTCTTCGATTTTCATCAGTAAGCGTTTCAAGTTTTCTTCACTTTCAGCAAGCAAGGCTGTGTCACCTGCACAATGCAGTTTGTTAGTGAGTCTTCCTCCAATCTTGATGCCATTTTCTTTGGTTCAGTTGGTGGTACTGCAAGTAATCTTGGCTTTTTAGTTTATGCTTCCTTATGTTTTCTGATTTTCTACTTAGAGTAAGATAGTATAAATTTGTGAAATGAAACAAAAACACATTGACTTCAAAAACAAAGTTATAATTTCTATCAGGTATTTAAAAATATTAAAGGCAACAAAATTTAAACAGTGTGATATTGGTACAAGTACAAATACAGAGATCAGGAAAAAAAACAGTTCTGAAACATAAGGAAACATAAACAATGTATCACCAAGAATGTAAATAAAAGAACAGGTAAGGATAGCATTACTGAGTAAATGGCACTGGGATATAATTTTCAAGGAAGAAGGACAAATGTCAACTTAGACCCTGATTTATATCTCAGAGTGAAATAAATCTGGACTATAAACTGAAAGAAAATAAAATTTTGAGACTTTTTTAGTAAAGGAGCTGTCAAGTGATTTTCATCATCCATCAATATGAACTCCTTGATGACGAATGAGATCTGAGCCACTACTAAATGCCTTCCCACATTCCTTACAGTTATAGGGTTTTTCACCAGTATGAATTCTCAGATGCCGAGTAAGGTTTGAACATTTATTGAAGGACTTTCCACATTCATTACATTCATATGGTTTTTCATCTGTATGAATTCTCTGATGTTGAAAAAGTTGTGAATTCTGAGTAAAGGCCTTCCCACATTGAAGACATACAAAGGGTTTCTCACCAGCATGAATTCTCTGATGTTGATGAAGTTGTGAGCTCTGAGTAAAAGCCTTCCCACATTCCTTACAATCATAAGGTTTCTCACCAGTGTGAATTCTCTGATGATTAGTAAGTGCTGAACCACTACTAAAGGCTTTGCCACATTCCTGGCATTCATAGGGTTTCTCACCAGTATGAATTCTCTGATGCTGAACAAGCTTTGAACTCTGAGTAAAGGCTTTGCCACATTCCTTACATGCATAGGGTTTCTCACCTGTATGAATTCGCAAATGCTGAAAAAGTTGTGAACTCTTAGTAAAGGCTTTACCACATACTTTACATTCATAGGGTTTCTCACCAGTGTGAATTCTCTGATGGTCAATAAGATTTGAACAATAACTGAAGGCCTTTCCACATTCCTTACATTCATAAGGTTTCTTACCAGTATGAATTCTCTGATGTTGAGAAAGGTATGAGTTACAACTGAAGGCCTTCCCACATTCCTTACATTGAAAGGGTTTCTCACCTGTATGAATTTTCAAATGTCGAGTAACATGTGAACCACAGCTAAAGAATTTTCCACACTCCTTACATTCATAAGATTTTCCACCAATATGAATTTTCTGATGTTGAATAAATTGTGAGTTCTGACTAAAGGCCTTTCTACATTTCTTACATTCATAAGGTTTTTCTTCATTGTTAATTATTTGATGTAAAGTAAGGAATGTGTGTTGAATAAATGTGGGTATGTGTTCATGAGTGAGTATTTCTTGACTGAAATATCCCAGTTGTCTTCCAAAGTGGATTCTATAGTTCAAAACATTTTTTAAATTGGAGTACTCAAGGCTTTGTCTTGTAAGTCCCATTATCTCCCTCTTGCATGATTCTATTTCATAAACTTCCTTCTTTAGAGATAATAACTTGGTTTCACACATTGATTGTAGATCTGAAAGAAAATTTTTGAAATGTTAAAGATTGTTTTCTTTTGGTAAAGTACACATTTTATAACATAAATGGAAAAATTAAAGTGAAAATAATATCTAGTAGTAAATGACATGGGCTGACTCAATGGCACATAACAACAACAACAGTATATGACATACAGTTAACAAGTAAACCTTTGTAATCCAAAAAATTGACAAGAAATATAAAGAAATAATGAGATATAATGCAGGAAGTGAAGGGAGGAGACAATGGAATTAGGTTACCACAATGATTCTTAAATATTAGTGCAGATCACAATCATCTGGAAAAGTTGGAAAATACATAATACTCAGGTCATTTTCCATATTGAAGGATGAGTAGTCAAATTTTTCATACACA